GAAACAATACTACTTGATGTTTGGCACATTCCACGTCCTGCACTTCTAATGCAAGTAACAGGTGGACATAAATATTTTAAATTACGAGGAAAAATGGGAGTTAATTTTCTTGATGAGTTTGTGAAGTTTGTGAGTAAATCAAGTAAGAATAGTGTTTTTCATCTGTACATTTTGATAGTAACTAGTCTATTCAGATACTTGGTTGTTAACAAATGGAATAAATGTTGGTATTGTACAACTCATCGGACAAACGATTCGCAAGAGAAAAATGACCAAACCTGATGACAAGACAATAATCATTGGTGTATGTAATTATGGATCTGTCAAAAATATGAACGATTTTCAACGACTAGAACATGTTGAATTACTGAATAATTCGTCATCATCTCGAGATCAAGATTTGGTAAGTGTAGCAGTAGAAATCTTTTCTATTCAAATATTATTTTGTCGATAAAACATCATATTTTTATGTCTTTTTTTTTCAACAAAACTGATACTATACATAAAGAAAGATGAATAAGTAAAAATTAGTGTTAGAGAAAATCAGAGGCATCATATGACATTAACCAAATAGAAAGTCTATCAGGCCTGACAAACAGAAAAAAATTGTGTAAGCCATTGAAGCGTATCTTTCTCTTTTTGGCACGTATGAAGATTAGCTCATCAGAAAATTTTGAAACTTTCAATGCTAGTAGATCTTGATGAGTAGGGTGGAAATTGTCATAGTCTAAAATATCTTACAAATCTGTCAGGATCGGTTGCCTTTTCGAGGAATATCCTTCAACTATGTTTGAATTAGTTAGCAGAAGAGAAAAGTGAGGAAAAAAAGCGACAAAAGGTGGATTCGAACATTTGATCTGACAATATTCGACGAGTCTTCTGAGGGTAAACTACAATTTAACGACAGGTAGATGTTATTTTAAACAGTCTAAATAGCAGAATGGCGATTGTTTATTCGATGTGTAATTGAAAATAACTGAAGATGAGCGATTTGACCAGTCCGATATATTGTCAACATATATAACGAATCCATGTTTTTATATATTTCATTACATCCAGTGTATAACTTTTCAATTTTGTTTGCTTCATATTAAAGAGTTTGTCGAGCACCTGTCGAGAGAGTAAAGATTCATATTTTTTTATGCTCAAAGTACAAAATTATATTGAAGCACAAAGACAGATACATAAAACTATCTAAGTAGTATTCTGATTGCTTCGCAACGAAAATTGCCCATTAATGTTCTTTAAAATTTATTAGACTATAAAATAAATTAGTTTAAAAATAATTCTAATATCTTTATACTATAATTTTATTTTACTTTAAATACTAATTTTGGTGAATTTAAATTTAAGAATATATAAATTATATAATTTCAGTTTATTATTATTTTTTAATTCAAATTTCGAAAAGTTAATCTTGAAATAAACTTCAATTATGATATGAAAAAAATGAACTTTTTTTTTGAATTTTAGATTATTTTTATTTTTAACTTTTCTTTTAATATAATCTATTTTTCCTAGACTTCAGCAATGAGAAAGATTTTATTTTGGAAAAATAAAACTATTTTTGAATTAGTCCAATTCTATTTTATAAAATTCTATGATACAACTTTTTAATCATGGTAAAATTTCAAAAAAAAAACTTTTAAATAAAATTATATTAAATAGCATCCTGTAGAAGCTGATCACTTGATTGTATACTTCAATTGACTAGGCGACTGATAAGTTACATATGATGTACATGATCGAATCTAACGTTCGGCTCTTTTACCCATCATTTGCTCGCTTGGAAGACTCAAAATTTAAAGATGTTTCCTGATAGGAGATATTGCGATCGCAATGACACAATATGGTCTCTTTCTTAGCCGCAATACGCCCGATAAGGCTAAAAAACAATATTTTACAGATACTAGACATTGTTTGGGTTGCGTACTTTTTTCAGTTTGTTTTTATCTTCTTCTGTTCGAATAGAAGCGTCCAAGTTCTGAGATCATTCTCAAAAATGCATGCGTTTTTTTAACTGAAGCTTTTTTGTAAATTCAGGCCAAAAATCAGAGGTACAGCATATTTTAAAACAAATAAAAGTAGGCGTCTGAGATAGTTTCTAGTTGAGATAAAATATGGTACTTGAGAAATGAAGGCAATTCTCATTATTTTCTAGTAAAAATAAACACATTTTCCAAAAACACAGAAATAATGTGAAAATCTTGTTGTTTTCTCAGCGAAAATATTCCATCTTAGCCAGTTTTTTGCCTTTTATTATTATATATTAATGCTTGAAATATGCCTAGTAGGCAGAAGATACTTCGAAGAATATAAGAAGCAGAAAAAAAAATCACCAATGAAAGATCTAAAAATTTTCAGTCGAACAGAGAGTTTCGCTCAATGTTCAAGTCTGAAAACGCTATACATCATTTTTATATTTTTTATCTTTGAAGTATTCTTTTTCTAATAGAAAGATGTTAGTCAATTACGAGCTGGTCAACAAAGTCTGGAAATGAATCATACATATTTTATATTACTTGACGATGGAACACTTCAATCTTACAACATAGGTGATTATCGTACTCGACTTGCAAAAACTATTTCCAATGGACGTGCAAAACAAACTTTATCAAGTATATACGATTTTTCCAAAATGATAATTGAATTAATTTTAATTTTCTATTTTCAGTACCCATTGTATCAGTTTTATTCGAAGGTGGTGAAGATTCTGTAAGATCTATTTATAATGATCTTCGTAGAAATATTCCTGTCATCATTATTAATGTGAATTATTTCAATTAAATGTACTGTTAATATAAGTCTATTATTTGATCATTTAGAATACTGGTCGTATAGCTGATTATCTTGTTCAATGGTTATTACGAACACAAGAAATGGATCTTGATATTAATTGGACAACACCAGTAAATATTAATGAAGAAAATGATACGTGTATAACATTAAACAAGACTTTCAAAGGAAAAGAATCGACTAGTTTACATTCTGATAATTTTCAATCTATGGAATCTGATGATTCTAATAAATTTAGTCGAAATCGGTATGTAAACTATGTTATATTCAATTTATACTTTAATTTTTTAGATTACGCATGAAATTTGATAAATATTTTAATTCTATGTATGATGAATTAACTCAAGCAATTAATGGAATTGATAGTGATCATCCAACAAAAATTATTAAATCAGATAAATTGAAAAAAGTCAATGATGAGATTATTCTTATGGTACTTTATTGTTTACAACCGATGGTTCGCTCAAAAATTAGTGTATTCAATTTTAATAAAGATGAAAAATTATCAGAAATAATTCTTCGAAGTATTTGTAAATGTAAGATTTTTCTTCATCTTATATCGAAATAGTGATTTATATATTTTTTTTCTCTTCTCATCTAGCTGTAGAAAGTAAAATCAAACTAAAGAAATTAAATTTGAATAAACATGAAGATTTTATATCAAATTTTGATTATTTACTTGAATTAGCACTTGATTGGGATTGTATTAATACAGCAAAAGAATGGATTGTTCAAGATTCTCTTGATAATATTTATGATAGAAAATCGATTTTTTGTCGAGCATTAACAAAACAACGACATAAATTTGTTCATTATTTTATTCAACTTGGACTAGAAATCGATGAAATATTTTTTCATCCAAAACTTAATCCATTTGCTGCAAGAAATATTAATAAAGAAAACAAACGTTATAGCGAATTTTTGAAAATTTTATATACTGAAGAAGCTATTGTATGTATATATTGTAGTCCAAATTGAAATTCAGTCAAATTTCGAAATTTGTCCAGTCGAAATTAAGCTTTTCAATATTTTGACTAGACGAAATTGAAATTTTTTTTTTTGATGAACAGGAAAAGGTAAAGCAAGACAAACGATTAAAGTAGCAACAAATTATTTTTTTTTATTTTACAAAATTTTTTAACAAATATTAAATAAAGATGTGAGTGGAATAGAGAAGTCACCCTCGCCCATATCCAAATCCAAAACATAACCACACATCAGAGATAACCAACATCCACATCCACACTCTTTCTTATTAAGATTTTACCTTTCTCTGTTGATCAAAAAAAAATTTCAATTTCGTTTAGTCAAAATTGAAACTTTAATTGTGGCTGACGAGGAAACCTCTTCAGATGCCTTCTTCCGATTTCAATGATTTTGTACCTATAGATATTACATAACGTTCTAATAAAAATCCTAAAAGAATTCTCTGTAGAACTTCAGTTTGTCGGAAACTTCATATTTTAGAATTTTAATCTGAAGCTTTACACATATAGAGAACTCAACAAGACTAGCTTCCATCGAAAAACTTAGAAGTTCTGAATATAGTGTCTTCGAGATTCAAAGCTTTCAGGGACCTCTAGAAAATAGGCATATTAAAAGACCGATAGCTTAGTCAAATCTCAATATGAAATTAAATCTTCTTAGGGCTTTTATAAGAATATTATGTAGTATCTATAGGCAAAAAATAATTGAAATCGAAAGAAGACATCTGAAGAGATTTTCCTTGGGAGATTATATTTGACGAAATTAAAATTTTAATTTTCATTAGACAAATTTTAATGTTAACCATAAAATGTATGTATTTACAATAAATATAAGATGTCAATGTTTGTTATTAGAATCGAGACGATTGGTTACTTCGAAATATTGTGAAAACTACTGATGATCAAAATCGAAAAGTTATTCATTCAACAGATGATCTCAATCGATTACTTCGAGTTCTTGTCGGCGGTTATATGAAACCACTTTATTATGATTCTCAAATAGAAGAACAAGAAGATCGTATGGGAGTTAAACATTTTACAAATATTATTTTACCAATAGAAGATATTGAACAAGGACAATTAATTGCTAGTGATGCTGTTTATAAACAATTAGCAAAAGATTATATTATTCGTGATCTTTTTCTTTGGTCTGTTATTATGAATTATATGGATCTTGCTAAAGTATTTCTTGCTCATATGAAAGATCGTATTTGTGCTGCTTTAATAGCTGTAGAAATTCTATCACATTTACGTGATCATTCTTCTGATGCTGTTTATGGAGATAAAAAAGCGGATCTTACTCATTGGATTAATTATTTTGAACAATATGCTATTAATTGTATGGATTTATGTTTTAAAAATGATCCAAATATGACACGAATATTAGCTATACAACGTGTTGAAATGTTTGGTGATGTTACTTGTCTACAGGTTGAATAGAATTTAAAATTTACTATTTAAAATTTTGTATCTTTATGTAGGTGTCTGATGATGCTAATTCCAAACGATTTGCTTCACATCCTTGTTGTCGACAAGCAGAGAATAGTATTTGGTATGATAAATTACATTCTGATCAATTTCATTTACGGTATTATATTGGACAATTGATTGGTTTATGGACTTTAGGTTTACTTGCACCGTTTACTGCACGTTTTCGAACAGTAGATCAAGTAAGAGAATAATTCATATAGTATCTCTCATGATATTTTTTTGTTTTTTAATTTTTTGTAAATAGAATCCACTTCCGACTGAACCAATGTAAGTAAACGAAAAGTTTTGTCTATTAATTCTTCATTATCTAAATCTATATAGTTTGCAATCATATGGTATTAATTATTGTGATCCATATGCTATTAATCATTTTGATGAACCTATTAAAAAGAAATTATATCAAATATGGCAATTTCATCAATCTTTACATATTAAATTTACCTATCATCATGTATGATTTATTTAATTAATTTTTTGTTAACTATAATATATTTAAATTTTCAGATTCAATATATGGCACTTTTGTTCTTGTTCAGTTATGTTCTATTATTTCATTTTGATCCAATCAAAGTTGACCGTCCATCAATTGATTCAGCAGAAATTCTTGTCATTATAATTGTTTCATGTATGTTTATTGAAGAACTTCGAATTGTAAGTAAAAAAAAAAAAAAAAGAAGGTTTTTGTTTTTGTAAGACTTATTTTCTTTTGTTTAGTTTTTTAATCAAGATAGCCTTTCATTTTTTGGCAAATGTCATAATTATTTTCGATATTTCTTCAAACAATTATGTATAATCTCATTTGTTTTATTCTATATTGGTTTAATATTACGATGTCAAGCTGTTGGATATTCTGCAACGTTTCAAGCAGCTAGGTAAATTATTTTCAAGATAATAAATTATTGAAAATTTTTTAAATAGAATTATTATGGGATATGATTTATGGCTTTGGTGGATGGGATCTCTTTCATTTATTATTGTCAATCCATTTCTTGGACCACATTTAGTCTCGATTGGAAAGATGGTAAAAATTAATATAAAAAATATCTTAAAAAAATATTGTTCTTTTTTTTGTTGTATTCTAGTTGAAAAATTTATCATTTTTTGCTATTTTAATTGCTATTGTTATGACTGCATATGGTGTAGCCTCACGATCGATGGCTTTTTATGGTACATTTAAATTTAATGGTCGTAATGTACTTCGTTATGTTCTATATCCTGTTTATTATTTACTCTATACAAATGTATCTGGTGAATTAAATGGATTAGATGGTATGAATGATAGAAATAATTTATAAACTAATAATTGAATAATTTGTTTTTTTCAAAGAATCTAAACTTGACAGTCCCAGTATTGCTACACATATTTTACTTGCTTTTCATATGCTTTTAATTAATATTCTTCTTGCCAATTTGCTTATTGCTATGTTTAAGTAAGTTGTCAAATTAATTCGATAAATTTTATGAATTGTTAACTTTTCTTTTTTTCTTAGTAAGAGCTTTCAAGATGTACAATCAATTCAATCGAATATTTGGAATTATCAACAATATTCGGTTGTTCGAGAATATTATGATCGACCACCGTTATTTATTCC